TTATCATCACTCTGTGTGATTATAATGCACTCTGTGTGATTATAATACACCCAATATATAAATTGTGAAATCAATGTCAATTGTAACACAATTCATATTAATAAGATTAGTCATTCTTCCTGAGCACTTAATAAATAGGTTATATTGCTATGTAAAAAGAATTAGAAACCAAAAATATAAATAAAGTGTTGATAGTGTCTGAGGTCTGGGTTGATAACAGTAAGAGTCACTGACAGGACGGAACGTGTGTACTAATAAAGGCCAAAAAATCCCCTCCCAAAAATAACAAAATTGGTCTGGCTAGCAAGTTGAACTGGGTTAAGCCTTCTAATATACTAAAAACGATCGATTCAAGGCTAACTTATGGTTAAGTCTCCTATTAATTCTCCCAGCTGTTGTTGGCAAACATCACAACATGTAATAAACAGACTAGTTGGATCACCAAGATAAGCTGAGGCCGAAGTCCCCTGGATGACCTGTGAACTAACGCTTCCTCACTGCTGAAGACTTTATAATGGATTTCAGATAAACATGTCTCAGTGTGTCGGACAAACAAGGACTCCCAAAACCCGACAATAGACCTTAGCTTTAGTTCTACATTTGGCCAGCTGGCCGTTCAAATTCAGACCCAAACCCACTAACTTCATCATTCATGTAAAATAAGATTGTACATAATACTGTATGCACACCTTGATGTAAACAAATATGACATTTTACGTAGAGAAAAAAAAAATTATATGGATTACTGAATGATTTGTAATAGTAAAATATGTGTGACAGATGAACTCAGACGATAGCTAACAAGCATCAAGTACGATTTCTGAGAAAAATGGAAAGAGAGGTGGGAAGGATGGGGTGGTTTGGGCAATGGACTCATATGGAATATTATGGACTATATATTTTTTATGTTTGTATTATCGTTTTCATAATTTGTATCTGTATATCCTCCTGGGACCCAGCCCATTGAAAATGTCCACTGTAGTGTAATTTTATAGAAGCAGGAGGAGAAGTCAAATATTGTTGAATAAATGTAATTTTTACCATGAAAATCATACATGTTCTTGTTTATTAGCATGTGAAGAACTATATAATTAGTTCTGAAAGCAATTCAATAATTCAAGTTTTCAAATACTTTTATAAATGTCCATTCTAGTGGACGTCAGGACCGTCTTTATGGACTTAATGACTCAATATTGTTGGAGGAGACGGAACAGAAGTAGACGTTTTCTGTACCAGATAGTTAAGAGAGATTTGGAGCTCTCAGATGATGAGAGAGACGAGGCTTTCACACCTGGGATAGAAGAGGGTCAAGAGGAAGGGGGGGAAAGAAGCAGGAGGCTCCATGAGCGCACAGATACAGACAGAGACAGATAGGGACGAGCTGGAAAGTCATGCCCTCTGTGGGCCAAGAGTAGCACGTATGTCTTATTGTTGTTTTTATTTAAAGTAGAGCCATGAAAAATGAGAATTGCCTCAGGAATGCCAGCTTTGTTTCTACGAGCATGGTCAAATGGAGACCACATCCATACAACTAGTCAAGATGACCCTACAGCCCGTGCCGACTGGAGTCAATGAGGTACTTTTCCCACTACATTGACTACAAAGTCTTTGAAGATCTGGAAGGATTCACCAAAAACCAAACTAGTTTTTTAGTGACCAAATAAACAGCAATGTTCAGATCAATTGCTTATTTATGTTTTAAATAAAGGTGAATGTATTATTGTATTAATATCACTCTATAACCATAATACGTTACATAGTCTATCTGTTCATTTTGGCTGTCTTTTCAAACTAATATGGACCTGACGTCCTCTACAGTGGACATACTGTAACATTTTAAAATAAAATAATTAAAAAGTCTAAATTGCAAGATGTTTTTTTTAACCCTAAATAGGTAGGAAATCACAAAAAAAAAGAAATTGAAAGACACTTTTTTCCCCTCGGGTCCCAGGAGGCCACTCACCTGATCCATATCAACAGGGACACCCTGGAGGGTCCAGGTCCATCCCAGCAGCAGCACAGAAATCAGAATCATTGCTTTCTCCATCTTAACAATATGTTGTGTTAGCCTGTGTGTAAAATGTC